AGGTCCGTTAAAACCTGTAATTCTGAATGTTTATGTGGGAGACGTCGGATTACCGAAGTGTCTCTTCATTTGTTGAGCCATTGTTGTCATGCGTCACTGTGATTGGCACAGTTTTTTCAGAGCGACTTACTGAGTGTATTCATTAATCACCACACCACACCATTTATGTGCCACATCAGCCAGTCCTTTTGCACTTTGCACTGTAGCACCAAAATAGCAGGTGCGTTTGGAGACGCCCACACACTTTGTGCACCTAAAGTGCAAGATTAAAATAGGGCCCTAAGAGACCAAAAAAGAACATTAACTTTAACTTTAAGGGACACTTAAAGAATTACAGACTAAGCTATTGTGAAGAAATCACATGGACTATAATTGGACATGGACAGTATCTGTCAGGTTTAATGAGAAATACAGTACTTGTTTCACTCTTCTCATCCGCCTCTCAGTGCCATTATATGCGAAAACAGGCAGAGTTCACTGTCTGTACAAATGAAGGCAATAAAAAGATGAAGAAGATGCTAACTTGGATATTGCCTTGTTTTCAGCTAAAACAGCATAAAAGTGACATCCCATGTACACAAAAGCTTATAAAAAGAAATTTTAATTGGGAAAATTAGCTTTTCAGAGTTGTAGTAAGACATGTTTTTAGCCACTAGGCAACCAACTGGTCTCTGAGGTGAAGAGTACCACTGGTCACATCTGAGTTTTGGTGCAGATTTGCTCAATTGTTGTATGTTAAACTATATTATTATTTACCTCTCTTTTTTTCCATAAATGGCAAAAGGAGAAGTACATAAATAAATCCATTGTACAGCACAACTTGTTCTTTTGTGCATTTTACAGTGAAAAACTGATTTCTCCATTTTGTTTCCTTGTATGGAATACGCTGGTAGCATTAGATATATGTAGTGTGCTACAGTAGTACTGGGTGATGGACAAGCAAATGGTCCTAATATAATCTTCTGTAATTGCCCGAAGTGCTGGTGGTATGTCATATTAACTGGTACGGCATCATGTGTGAACCATATCTGCCTCCATTACAGCAGATAAACTCTGGATGAATCCTATTTCACACTGCCGTGGACGAGTTTCAGAGAATACTTATTATGTTGTCAGTGGTATCCTTTTAGAGGAGAGTGTGGCCGGGTTGAGTTGTCCCATCGATGTTCAAATCAGCTTTCTTTTCTTGCTAATGTGGACAAGCCCATTTGAGTGGATACTTATTATGCTGTCAGTGTTTTCTTTAGAGAACAGCTCCAATGGGTTGAGTCGTTCCATTTCTTTTCAGATGAGCCCCGCTCTTAAAGCTGGGGTGTTGCTGTTTACATAATCCTGGTCTTACTTGCTGCTTCATTAGTGGCAGCATCAGGTGTCCTTTGAAGTCTGTCATTAATATGGTCCACTGTTGTGCAGCACTGAGATCAGTGCTTTGGATCTATGAACACATACTGTACACTGCTGGATGTCAGGACACAGTTACCGCGTAACTGCAATTCATCACATTTCTTTGTCACTCTTTTAGGTATCTTCCTAGCTTGTGTCTTTTGCTTTCACTCTCTTTCGCTCTCTAGTCTATATATCTTTTGCATGGAGGATGGCTTCACAGGTTCTGCTTTGATCTTGAAGAAAAAAGTCCATCTTTATTATCTCCTGTCCGCTCTAGACTGTGTGTTTGGATAATAAGTAGATAGTAGATAGTGTTTCAAAGGGATGGAGAAAAGAAAGTCACAACTCCATTTTCATCCACCTCATTAAAACTGTTTTCCCATAGACCATTGTTTTTGTTTTCACTGATATTGTGTCATTTTTGTTTTCAAGGCAACGCTTGTCAAAGATGTCTTTTGCTACTTGTTTAAGCCGCAAGATATGTGTTACTACCTCTATGCTGACAACTGTTTATTAAAAGTTGGGGGGGATGTGACTTGATAATTAAAGATTTCTTCAGGGACAGAGTTACTGTCTTTATAATATAATTTTGTTCTAAAATCCACAGTTTTAAAATTATCCTACTACAAAATTAAATATATGGTGGATAAATGTGTTGATATCAGGTGAAATCTTTTAGTTTTTATATTGTATACAACTCTATACTGATCCTAACACTTGAGATAATCTCCCATAAAGCGGATTTAAAGTTCACAGGCATTTCTGCGCTACCCTCAGCATGTTTAAGATGATTAATGCATATTTAACATAAAACCAAGGAGATTCAGTAGCAATTTGTATTTACTTTCATTCAGCATCTCATAATGAGCCTGAGCCAGCTATTGTGTAATGGGATTGTTCGGAGAGCTTGCCCACATCAAAGACCAGTTGGTTGGAGGAAGTTCACAGTTAAATTTATTTTCTTCGTAAGAAAGAATTTGAAGAGGTGTGTTTGTGCTAAAACAATGTTTCTGTGATTTTTCAGTGTGCTGAAAACCTGATACCAACAACTATGTTGTGCTTTTTTTTATGTTGAGGTGTTTTCCTCACCTGCCGAGTGAAGAAAATGTGTCGTAAATGAAGCAAAAATCAAGATGATCCGCAGCAATATCACCAGGGAAGGCTTCCTGCACACATTCTTTGCAACGCCTCTGGTTTTTCAGCTATTAAACTGTTCCTTCAATCGACCTTTACATGCTTTAAGACAGTTCAAGGCTGTTTATGAGTAGGTACATCTTGCATTTTGGTCAACAATTTTTCAGCTATCTCAATTGCTAATTAGGTATTAGAGGAAGGCTCTTTTCCAGGAGGCAGATTATCATTTTCTGAAAACATGTTGTGCTCCACATAAGGAATGCAAGCCTCACTTTTTTCAACTGGAAAATCTACTGTGGGTATATGTCTCCTAAGCATTAAACCAACTGCTCAATGAGACAAGTTGACACATGCAGTTGTTCTTGAGAGGGTTTCCTGGAAATCACCAAGTGAAATAGAAAAAGGTGAGGCAGACTAAGGCTATAAGGAAGCAAAATACAATATTCACTCACAAAGAGTACATTGAACTCTGTGGGGATAGTTTGTATTATATGTTACGTGCATGCATATGAACAATTTATAATGATCTTTTATCTTATTAGATTTACTTTACCCAGTATTCATTTAAAGGCACTTAATCAGCTTCTTAAGTAATATGGGTTATATATTTGATATATATGTGTCATGATCCGCTCTGCTTTCCATCCTACTGCCAGCTCTGCCAGTACTTTTTCCGATCACCTGCCTGCCTCATCAGTGCAACCACCTTCACCTGTGTTCCCTCACCTGTGTTTAACACCACTCTTTCCTCTCAGTCTCTGCCAGATTGTCTTTAGCAGCATGCAAAGCTCTCTAGTGTTATTTCCCAGATTGCTTCCTTGGTTTTGACCTGCTTGTCCCTGCCCGTCCTCTTTTGTCCCTGCGCGTAACTCCTGAAACAGCCTTCTGTCCCTGACCCCTCTGCCTTGCCTCGCCCTTGTCTGCTCCAGTTGTTTGCGATTCCCTCCCCGGAAGGTCTCTGCTAAAAAAGTTCGACTGTTTTGCTAGCTCAGGTTGTGGACTATTCTTGTGTACCTGCTGTGGATTTTACAACTCTGTTTGGACAATAAACTGTTGAACTGTTCCAACGCTGGTCTCAGTCTGTGCTGTTCTTGTGTCCAACCTCACGCCCATTACAATATGAGCACAAACCTTTTTTGGTTATTTAAAATGAGATATTTCTGTATTTTTCTGTGCTCTTGGGGTGAGTTGGAAAAGGTTGATGCTGCATTCACACACTGTCGGTAGAACTAAAAAAACCCCCATGATAGATAGATATCTTAAACAAACTGTGGTATTTTACTTCCTGTCTAAAATTATGACCCAATAATACCAATACCATACTTTCAAAATGTCATGATTTTCCACTTTCTGTGCACAGGAATTTCCCTTTTAGGACTTAATTCCCGTAGTTTGTTATCAAGTGAAACTGAATAGAAACAAACTGTATAAGGTTCCCATTAAGTAGCTGAATTGATTCCCTTAGCAAGGATATTGAACTTATTTAGATGTAACTGTCAGCAACGGAGGCTTTGCGGCCATGTTGCCAGCGATTTGTTAACACTGCTGTAGTTATTTTCACTAAGAAGGAGATATTGTAGCTGTCAGAAATTCCTGATATCGCCAACTTGTAATTACAACTTGGAGGCTGACATGAAAGTTTTTTCTGACTTGGCTGCTTGTAATTACGGCCTGATTGATATGACACGAACACGGTATTTTGTTGCCCGAGAGATACCACTGTCAATCAAATCTGATCAACCCAAAACCACATAGTCCTGATTAAAAGATTAGCTGAGATTTAAGAAATGTATTATTACTTTACTTAAATAGTCATGCATATTTAATATTATGGAAAAAATACAAAAGGTTAGTGTATAAAAATAAATCTGAATTGTTCTGTTTTGGTTAACTTAGAATGGGCTGTCTAAATCTTCAGAGGGAGAGGGTCCTCTTCTACAGAGTCCGCCATGTTGAACTGCTATGTTTCTATGGTAGCCCAGATAGGGCCTTTTGCACGTGTTTCGTAGCACCGTAGTTCCTACACGCTAGGAAGGTGAGGGTGATGTGACGGGAATGCAATCAGCAACTACACTGCATGACGTTCTCTAAATCTACACATTGGTCCTTTAAACCAAGATTTTAAGGGCTTTTTAAACACGTATATATATTGTTGGCAATATCCTTTAAAAATGTATGGTAGGTTGGCATAATCTTAAACTCATTTTTGAGTTACACAGACACAAAACATGTTGGAATTGTACAATAGAAGATGAATAAGATGCATATAATAGTATTACAGACACTATACATATATGTCCCTACTGAATTTAGGGAAAAAGTATATGTAAAGTATATGCTTCATGGAAAGGTTTATGACAGACTTCATGTGTCCACTCACGCTGACATAATTTTCCTCTCAGCTGTCAGTCATCCTGTCCCGCAGACCCCGCCCCCTACGGAAATACAGGAGGTTGCCCGACACGTGATTAAGTCAGAATGGCGGAGCTATCTGGCTGAATGATTTTTTTACAGTACCGACGGGTCCTAAAACCCTGCTCTGTGGATGCTCCTGGAGACTGGCAGAGAACCAGCCATTTGCGCCCAAGGGTGCTCAATTCAGGTAGTGTTTCTTTTCTGTCTTGGTTAAACTCAAACACAGTCCTCTGTTAGGCTTGAACGAGTAGAGAGAACCATGACTCCAAAAAAGAAGGAAAAAAATGTGTCTTGTTGTAGGTCTGCGCTTTTCCTCCTCGGAGTCAAACTCAGTGACTCTTACTCTGATATGCTTTGAGTTTGTGTCGTATTTTGCAGGACCGTGTTAAGTGTTGCGCAATACAGGCATTGTTCAGTATTACCATTTCGGAGTGGATTTAAAAACTGTCGACTGTACGTGTTGTGCAACATTGTTACTCCGCCACCTTAGCTGCTCCTTTTTAAGTTGGACTTTTAATCCCGCTGCTCGCTACATCGTTCTGAAACACGCTGTCATGTCGGAAAAGTGTCTCTTACGGACAGTCCGTGCCTTATTCTGTTACTTTTCAAACTTTCCCTGGTGTGAGTTGTGCTGCAGCACGGCACCATACGTTGACACAGCGGTTTCCTTCCAAGTGTGAGGTTACTGTAAAGAGTTACCAGATGTAGTGGGGAATTTTGTCACCCAGTTAAAGTTGTTTGTGTACCAGAAAAGTACGTCCCCCGAGTAAAGAGGAACTGTATTAATGCAGTAAAAAAAAAAAAAAAAAACTTCTATTAGTATAGTGCCAGCTCTGCTCAAAACTATCCTCCAAACTAATTTTTCTTCAGATAAATGAGCCAGAACGCGTGTGTGTGTGTGTGTGTGTGTGTGAGAGAGGAGAAAGCTGTGTGATGGAGGGTTCTGCTGGGGTTGAACCGCCGCTGCCACAGCTTTGGGTGTAAACGTGTGTCTTCATGGAGTGTAAACACAAGAGAGCAGCAGCAGGACGACGGTGAAGTTAGCTTCCAGCTGGCTGCTTCCCATTCGGCAGCTTTAAACAGGGGGAAATGGTATCAGACATCCCAGTTAAGGCTTTCATTTCATAGAGGGATATATGAAAGCTAAAACATGGTGAATTTACCGAGTTTTCTCCACCCTGACAACAATAAACCAGATTTAGCTTAGAAACTGTTACATTTACCCTTGTCAGACCTGGACTTCATTCACATTTAGACACCAGTAAGGGTTTAAATCACAGATTCACACTTTATTGTTTTGTGAGAACACACAAATGGCAGGTTAAGCTTCATTTGTGATTTGTGATTGAAAGCCAGTCTGACATGGGCAAGATGTGAAAACAAATCAGTGGAATTTGTGTTTTCACAAGTAGAACAAAGGTTTCACAAACCAATTGACAATTGTAAATGTAGTTTTTTTTTTTCTTTTTTTGTCTGTAGTTGACTGGACAGAGATGGGTAAAAGCGGGGTTTAAAATAGAATTAAGGCTCGCACTAGGATGTCTGACTAATAAGTGGTGCGAAACACAGAGAATCCGTTGCTCAATATTGTCATTTAAGTTTCACTTAACTTCCCCCATTAACTACTCAATCAGAAGCTAACTTCAGCAGCGTTACACCAGCAGGGCTGTGCTGCTGCTCTGCTGAGAATCCTTTAGGCATTCACTAGCGGAAACTATTCCCTCAGCACTACGGGCTCTGAAGGACTGCTGGTCGTAAACTCCAGGCCCCACAGGAACAAGGTCACTGCAGCTCTCTAAAAAAAAAAAAATTGGCTCCGAGTGCTTCTCTGGAAGGATGACTGCTGAGGGAAGAGCCCAGATTGGAGCAGAAGAAGCAGGATCTTCTTTGTTGATATTTTCTTTTCTTTTCAGCTGAGCATCTCAGTATTTTATTCTATTTTATCTGTCTGTCTATCTCTTTGCATATTTGGCAGTCCTTTACTTGCTGTAGACAGCTTCTGTATATTTCAGCCATTTAGCTGCTAACTTTATATTGAGTTACCATTAGTGAGAAGGGAGGGATTCAGGGAGTCCATACAGACCTGTTTAGTCTGGTTACATATAGTTGATTGATGATGACGTACAGTAGATTATATTAGTAGGCTCTAATTATTTACCGTTCACATAGGGGTTAGGTCCATTAGAATCAGGGTTCACGGTTCGGTATGTACCTCGGGTTTTGGGATCATGGATTGGTACATTTTTTGGTATAACAGGGAAAATAACATTTTTTTGTCATTTCATTTGAAAATTAACATTCAATCATCTACAACACAAATGTCAGTAATGCCCTCTCTTTCCTGAACAACTGCAGCTTGCATTTGTTTATACAGGGCAGGCACAACGGGCCGACTAAAGTACACACGTTGTAGTCAATCCTGTACCGAAACCTTAATTGCAATGTGAAACCAAAACTAACTGGATCAAATGTGAAAATGCAAACCTGGGTGTGAAGTGAGAAGGCCATAAACGTCATGGGAGGATCCTCCCTTCAGACGGCGGTGATACTACATGAGCTTGATTAACCGGGCTAAGCTGATTAGCACTCTACAGCTGATAGATAACGACTGGTGAGCTGCCAAACCTTTTTCAAACTCACGCTCTAAAGAGAGATTAGAAATAAATCCACTGTTTGGATTGTATATGTTTGGGTTACATGGCGTACCAGACCGAGTTGTCAAGTACCAAACGGTTAAGGATGGAAACGCGTTACACCTTTTAGTTCAAACATGGGATGATGGTCTATTCTCTGTCCGTGTTAAATGTGTTGCATGTTGAATAACCAGTGGGACTGAGTTTTGTTTTCTTGGTTGTCCTGCTGTGTCCCACACAAAGAAGTCACTTGACTTTGTGGTGTACGATGTGCATTCCAGGAGTTGTTATTAATATGTCGTAAATCATGCTTTGTTTCTCGACTGCTGCTATTTATGGAATGCACAACATGTCTTGTGGCTGCACTGCATTGTGGTCATTGTAGGCTACTGATGGTGATAGTATGAAGATGCATATCTTTGCCTCTTTTTAACTGATTTGTCTTTGTGTGATTGTCGAATATTTGTTCCAATTTGAGTCTCTTCCACTTTGATTTTGAGGAACTGACAGTAACACCTGATATTTAAAGTTCATATTTTGAACAGTTGGGAAAATTGTTACTAACACAAACTGCAAATGACACAGTTAAACAACAACATGGATTTGGGGAATAAAGTTACTTAGACGGGTTTTTAATCAGTGTTAATGCATTTCATAGAAAACCTCTTTGTGACTTGAACACCAAACATTTTAAGTTTGCATGTGTGTGCATATTTGTTGCACATTAAGTGTCTACTAATTACATTTTTGCGTTGCACAAAGATTAGAAAGAGTAGATGGATGCCTGCAATATCCAAGTCCAAAGCTTTAAAGTGTATGTTGCACATCATTAAAGGTGTAAATATGCTGTCATCTTTTACTACTTCATTCTGTCTCTCCAATTAAAAATTGTCTTGTGTCTCACCTAGTTTGTAATTGTACTTCTCTATCTACCACCTCTCCTTGTGACAGATACTAATTTAGCCAGAGATTCAATTAGCAATTATTGAAGTCGTTTTTAAAGCTAAAAAGCCAAAAACATTTTAATATCATCCATAACTTTGGATGACATACCCTTTTGACACTGCCATTGTCAGCCAGAATTGAGCTACTTCTGAGATGTGCCGCATTTATGGCAAGTCCAGACATGGTTAATGTGTTGGCCTGAAAATATCCACCATGCAGATGACAAATTGCAATTAGTGGCGATGAAAAAGCATTTTTAGAGCATCAGGGCAGAAGGTTTTTGGAACGTTGTTGAAGGCCTACAGATTTACAGTATATATCTATATTATAAGACTTAAAATGATGATCCAAAATGTATGTTAAAAATGTGTTTTTCAAACAGTATTGTTCAGGCTTTTTAGACAGTGTAGATGTAAATGTGTTTGAAACAAAGGTCTCAACTAGAATCGGACAGCTGAGGTTGCGGTTACAACTGAAACCACAACACTGGAATAAATGACAACAGAGTGAATTCAAACTGACCGTTGCTGCTGTTTCATCATTGAGGAAACTTTTGAAAGCCACCCCAGTCTGCAAATTGTGTGAGTGTTTGACTTGACAAAAAGATACATTATGAAAGGCATTGGTGTTGGTTTTCTTTTACCATGTATAAAATAGAGTTTGTTCCACAGTTTTGAAATCTTCAAGCAAAGCCACCTGCATATTGATATTGAGGTAATAATTAGGATATTTTATTGGCAGTGGCATATTACTGTTTTACTTGTTCATTTGTAAGATATTAAAGAGATTAGGATACTTAAGAAAAAGCATGATTAATGAAGGCAATCATTCACGTTTTTGCTTTTCTATGCTGAATTGAATCTAGCCCATTAGACTGTTAGGCTCTTGGGCCAACTCGTACATCACTACCACACCAAGGTTTTGAACCGTGTAATCCTTGTTCTTTACTTGCCCCCAAGTTTTTCCTCTTGTAATCGCATTAATAAGCTCATTTAACTCAGTGCCACTGTGCTTTGTCAGGGCCCAGGCCTGACTTTCCAACTTCCTCCCATCATTTAGCACCAGCTGGCACTGGGAAAGCTTGCTTGTTTGTGAACATTTTGTGGATGTTGTCATGCTAATGGATACTAATGGGGTCTATTAATGCCACTGTTGTGCTCAGGGAAAAATACGGTGACAGGACCCTGTAAGCACCGACACGTTCACACAGCAGGAATTTGTAAGCTGCTTGGCAGGGTCTTCCCTTCAACCCCACTGTGATTCAGCATATTATCGAACCTTTGTTCTCAGTCCCCTTCCATTTGTTCCTCTATCTCTCCATTACATGCAGTGTTTGAGATGCCACTAATACAGTTTGAACACAACTCACTTCGCCTTTTCTCACTAGGCTTACTGTTGTGCAGCTTATAAAGTAAAGGAAACTGGATATTGGCCAGTGGGCCAGAGAAGCAGTAAAAGTAGACCAGAAGAAGATTCAAAGCAGTAGTAAAAGGGACACAGAGCTTTTAATGGGCAGCTATACAGAAGCTCTCAGCCTCAACTGATGTGATTTGAGGGTTGATGAGTCCTTGTGTTGACTCACTGAGTTCATGGTTGCGAATCCTTCTCC